CCTCTGCCGTCCCCTCCTTCTTTTGCCATCTATTGTTCCCAGCATCAGGGTCTTCTCCAGGGAGTCCTTCCTTCTCATAGGTGGCCGAAGTATTTGAGCTTCATCTTCAGGATCTGGCCTTCTAAAGAGCAGTCGGGGCTGATCTCCTCTAGGACTGACCGGTTTGATCGCCTTGCGGTCCAAGGGACTCGCAGGAGTCTCCTCCAGCACCACAATCCAAAGGCCTCAATCCTTTGGCGCTCAGCCTTCCTTATGGTCCAGCTTTCACAGCCCACAGTTCCCACATTGCAACTGGGAAAACCATGGCCTTGACTATATGCACTTTTGTCGCAGGGTTTTGTCTGCTTTTTAGAGTGCAGCCTCCTATTTTTGCTGAGCAAATGCACACTTGATCTTGGCCTCTCACTTCCTAGGCCAGGGCTGAGGGTAGGAAGCAAGTCTGCCATGTGCAATGGAGCTAAATTTTGGGTGCATCTTGGCACCGCTCCTGGTGGTTAAGTCTTAGGGTCTCGGGGCACCAGGTGGATGGGAATTGCTCTGCAGCTTTGCTCAGGCTTGGAAAAAGGAATGATTTCAGTTACAAATACAGAAATTGCTGCTGTCCGTCAGCTCGGGCCACGCTCACCTGGTAGAAGGCCGGTTCCAAAAGCCAGTGATTCCAACGAAGGAGGGGCTGAGCGGCATTTCTTCGGTCCGGAGACAGCAGTGGCGTGCGTTCCTCCGGGTCACGTAGCTGAGCAGGTGGGCATTTTTCCTCCTTGGTACCGAGATGGAAGAGCAGCGAAAAGACAGCACCTACCGCTACAACGATCAAAGCCAAGTTCTGGGGGGGAGAAGGGGAGAAGGAGAGAAGCCATGTTGTGAGGCGGGAGAGTGCAACTGAGATTTCAGTGTCCTTCAGGTGAAAACAGGAAGAGGAAACTGGGGAGAGGAGGAAAGTAGGGTGGGCTACAAGGACATCCTACGTAATGCCTTGGGTGGTGGCCATGAACTGCGGGACTCCACTTAGGAAAAATGAACTCCGACAAAAGAGGCATCCTGAATCACCCGGTACTTCTGGGGCAACGTGGAAAATCTTTCCTTTCCGACAGCGATCAAGAAAAACTTCTGCTATGTACGGAGTACCTTGCTCTTCAAACACACGACGATTCCTCCATTTTAAAAGAAGGCAAGGTTTTAGAGATACGAGAGCAAACATCACCAGTGAACAGTATCTTTCTGCTGGTTTTCTGTCTTCCTTACCTGGCAAGCAGCAGTCAAACTGATGTACTAGATAAAGTACTGAGGTCCAAAAGCGGTGAACCCCAGAAAGATCAGCGAGGGAGGCCCTGCTCCGGGAACCCTCCCTGAAGGAGGTAACAAGGGCATCTACTCGGAGAAGGGCCTTCTCTGTGGTGGCACCCAGATTGTGGAATGGGCTCCCCGGAGAGGTATGCCTGGCGCCAAGTCTATACTCTTTTCGGCGCCAGGTCAAAACCTTTTTATTCAATCATTATTTTAGAAATTAGGATTTTAATGTTTCACCAGTTGCTTTTGTTTTTTATTGGTTATACGTTATTATACTGCAAAAGAAGGGGACGGCAGATGGAGATGCCGGATGGACTCCCTGAAGCAGTCAGTGTGAGCTTAGGTGGACTCCAGGGATGGTGGAGGACAGGAGAGCCTGGAGGAAGGTTGTCCATGGGGTCGTGATGGGTCGGGCACGACTTTGCGACTAACAACTACAATGTATGGCTGTGGGAATTGGTCTATAAGGAAGGCTGAGCGCCGAAGAATTGAAGTCTCTGAATTGCGATGCTGGAGGAGATTCCTGCCAGTCCCTTGGACCACAAGGCGATCAAACCGGTCAGTCCTGGAGGAGATCAACCCTGACTGCTCTTTAGAAGGCCAGATCCTGAAGATGAAGCTCAAATGCTTTGGCCACCTAATGAGAAGGAAGGACTCCCTGGAGAAGACCCTGATGCTGGGAACGATTGACGGCAAAAGGAGAAGGGGGCGGCAGAGGATGAGGAGGCTGGATGGGGTCACTGGGGCAGTTGGTGTGGGCTTAGGTGGACTCCGGGGGACGGTGGAGGACAGGAGGGCCTGGAGGAATGTTGTCCATGGGGTTGCGATGGGTCAGGTGCGACTTCACAACTAGCTACAGCTATGTATCATTTTATTGTATTTTGATTTTAATGACTGTAAGCAGTCCTGAGATGCCATGCATATGGGATGGCATATAAAAGTTTTAAATAAATAAATAAATTTACGGGTTGCTTATATTACAGAAATTTCTCAGCAACATACAAAGATTCCTTTCTGGAAACTGTTAAAAATGGAATGTTTTTGCTGTTGTTGTGTATCATCAAGTCACCTCCGACTTAAGATGAGCCTACTAACGAATTCTCTGCCCAATTCTTCCCAGTTCAAGGCTGTGGCTTCTCCCTTCTCTTCTCCTGCCCTCGGTTTTCCCCAGCAGCACGGTCTTCTCCAGGGGGTCTTGCCTTCTCATGATGTGCCCAAAGTAGGTTTGTCATTTATGCTTTGATAAAAGAAATCTTTCAGTCAGGCCAAATCCCCAGAAGGTATTCCATCTGCGCTGGTAGGGAGTGGGTGATATGATGCAAAAAACACAACAAAAACCCTATTTTGAGCTGCAACAAACTGAACTGCTAAAATCTTGAATATCCATCAGAAGAACATGACAACTACAGAATGCACTCCCCAGAGAGGTCCGCCTGGCACTGCCATTGCATGCTTCTCGGCACCCGGTCAAGAACTTTTTATTTGGCCAATATTTTAAAGCTAACCAATTTTACTTGTATCTTTATTTATTCAATTTATTTTAACCATGTCAGTTTTATACTCAGTCGTGGTGTAGCCAATTTATTTTGTTTAGGATTTAAAATATACTGTAAGTTGTCCAGAGACAACCATGATGGGTGGCCTGTACATCTCCTAAATAAACAAACAAATAATAAATGAATGCAGCAACCAAGAGTTAAGGAGTGAGGGATTTCTTAAGCATTTTAACCAGGCGTTGTCCAGGACTTTGTAAATATGTACCAAAATCTGAACAATCCCATTGGATTAGGTTTAGCAGAAAAGCAGACCAAAAGCATAATCTGGTCCAGACATTCCAAAACCACATGCCCGGCAGGTATATTCAATGCCAATCTTCTCAAACTAGCACGACAGTCCTCTGGGAGGGATGGTTTCACTGGGAGCCCTGCACTGATCAGAGGGTTGGACCCAATGGCCTTCTGATCCCTTCCAGCTCTATGATTCTATTCCATGACTGAGTTATAAACTCTGAGGTGCACCAGCTTGGTTCCAGGAAACCTAAAAGCAGGGCATGTGGGCAACATTCTTCCATTTTTACAACTGGAAGATAGACTGCCCCTGAACAGAGAGGCTTTACTTTATTTCTACAGCTACCGAGAACTCTGTACCTGACAGGGGGCTTCTGTTGGTATGAGCCTGGCGACACACCATAAATAGCACTGTAGGATTTCCAAATGCTTCTCTTGGGGAAAGTTCAGGGGCTGCTCCCTGCCGTGAGTTCTGCCACAACCAACACTCGCATTTTTGCTGTCAGGTTAAGGCATTCCTCGGCTGCCAGACACAGGCTGACCCATGATTGGGTCTTTATCGCATTAGCTGAATGCTTCAGATGTCACCTGTTAGTGTGGGCAGTTTTATTTCTCAAATTTATATGCTGCTGAATAGCCTGACAGGGCTCTCTAAGCGGCCAACAACATTAAGATACAAGCGAATATGGCAAATATTAGCGTGGCTACGTGACTTCCAAAGATTTGGGGTGCGAACTGGGAAGAAACCAGCACGAAAAGGAAACACTGCCGGGCAGGTGCCAGGCCTTCCACCCTGCAACCTTGTCCCCAAGCGCCCCTTCCACATCCTGGACCCACCCTGAAGACAGGAATGTCATGATATCCAAGGTGGTGCGCTTTCTCTTGTGGTCCCATGCCATCCGCCTGGAAATGCAAAAGCAACCATGCCAGTCCGTACACAGTGATGTTAGCCACGACAGTAAAAGCATACCTAAAAGCCAGAGAAAGGAGAGAAAATGGCGGATCAACCAGCTGCCAATGGAGCTACTGAGCTTTGCTTAGAAGAACCGGAAAAAGCCATCCGCTCCCCAACGTTCTCAGGATCTGACTTTGCGGCACTGAACGCCACCGCTGTCCTTTCCCAAAAACCCAGAAGGAAGAAGCAACATTCCATCCCTAACTGCAGAGCCGTAACGCCCACCTTTGGCTCCAAAGCTGAAGGGAAATTTCAGGGATCTGGGGATGAAAATCTCCAAGCATTTTCACGCTGCCACTGTGCAGGGAAATGCTGCCCCCTGGTGGAAGAAAGCAGATTATTTCCCCAAAAAAGGCCGAACCCCCCATTAGAATTCATCAACAACACAAAAAGTGCATGAAGTCCCCCAGAACCGCAACAGATAAATAAATACGGCATAAAAAAGAGAGTTTGTAATAGTTTAAAGGCAAAGCATATGAAGAAACAGGGCATGATTAATCAGGCACACCAAATCACTGAAGAAGTCAACAGTTTCATTGTGCAAACATATTCAACATGAGTCAGCGGAAGCTCTTTTAAGAACATGAAAGAACATATGAAGCTGGATATCACCATGAGGCCTAGTAGCTGTGGATACCTTCTCTTCCATGCTTTTGTCTGATTCCCTTTTAATCCCATCCGAATTGGTGGCCCTACCCAGCGGAAGCAAGTTCCACAGTTCAGCTCTGTGGTGTGTGAAGATCTTCCTTCGATCCGCTCTGAAATTCTGACTTCTGAGGCGGATGCGATAAGCCCTTTGGGTTCGAGGCTTACAGGGGAGGACACTCTTTCGCCACTGTGAATAATTCTGCACACGTCTTCCTTGACTGACCTTATTTCTCGGCTCGACAGTCTCAGCTGTTATAACCTTTCCTCCTGGGGAAATTGCGCTTCCCTTTGATCATTTTATCTGCCCCTTTATGCACTTTTTCCAAGTGTACAAAGTCTTTTATTTTTATATACACAGATGTCAAGTTGCCCACCTCTGCCCTAAATCCCCTTCTTGCTTCTTGCTCAATCACTGGAGCAAGTTCAACCCCACCAGTTTCTACTTGAATTTGTGGGGTCTTGTATTCCCCCCATCATGCATTGCTTTACATCACGTCTGCTTATGACATTTAAATGCTCATTTTTCCAGTTTGGAGAGATCTTCGGTGCATCTCACAATCCTGTTTAGTTTTAGGCACCACCCTAAACAGCTGGGCAAGTTCGTCCACTTCACCGCTTGTTCCTCATCCTGGATCATTTATGAAATAGTTGAAAAGTGCTGGTCAACAGAAGATCCCTCTCGGATCCGCTGATTACCTTGCTCGACTGGGAGAACCCAAACTTTATTCGCACTCTTTGCTTTCTGTTCCTTATTTATTTATTAATTAAAACATTTCTATGCCGCCCCTTGCCAAAGCCTCGGGGCGGCTCACAACACAAAATAAAATACAATATTAGTAGATTAGCCATTTACTGATCTGTAGGACCTCCTGCCCCCATTCCATTAATGTTCAGGGACTTTGTCAAAAGTCTACCAATTTCCCCATCCACGTTTATTGACACAGAACTCTAGAAGAGTAGAGTTGGGAGGGGCCACTGGGTCTGACCCCCTGCTCGGTGCAGGACTCCCAGTTAAACCGTCCCTCTCAGATGGCTATCCAGCTGCACCTCGAACTCCTCCAGTGTGAGCGAGCCCACCTCATCCCTAGGTCTTTGGTTCAGCCAGTCAGGAGCAGTGGAGTGTCTCAGACACACAAGAGGTTCCCTGGCTTTAGTCCCCATGATGTGGTGTTAGCAGAGGGCCACCAAGGAGGACTGGTGAACAGAGAGGAAGTGTCCTCATTTCCCAAAGGTCTCCTCCCCAAAGGATGGGCCCAAACATACTTATAAGGAGAGTTCCTAGAAGGAAATGCTAGATTGGGCTCAACAAACTGCTCTGTGCATGCTCAGGGGTTCCTTCTGCGTGCTTTTCGGCCAATAAAGAACCCTTTGCCAGGAAAACGGCCTGTGGCCTTTGAATGCACAAAGGGGGAACCTTAGATCCTGACAGGATTCCCCATTTGCCTGCTGATGGGACACATGAAAGCTGAAGCTGGGCTGGTGCTGGTGCTCACCTGGGCAGCGAGAAGTGGACCTGCTGTGCACCACCAGCAACACCCAAAGAAGATGGTGGTCCAGCCACTCACCCACCTCCAGATCTTACCTAAAAGCGGTGAGCTCCACCTTCTCATGATCGCTGGTGACCAACTCCGGGATGAGGGAGAGGTGGGAAATCTGTGTGGCTGCCCAGCCAAACTGGAAGATGATGACGAAGGGGATGAAGTAGACAAGAGAAGCCCATTCAGGCGTGTTCCTTGAGCAACCCAAGCAGGGGCTGAAGATAAAAGGGAAGGACAGAAGGACAGAGATGGTACCTGCAGAGGAAGAAGTGGGTGAGGAAGGGGAAAAAGAAAGAAAGAAAGAAAGCCGTGTAAATGCTTGGCAGGTGTGGAATAAAATTCTTACCAGACAGGCGTGCTAATGTTTTTAATGTCTTTGACCTATGGCAACACTCGTATCTATGAGAGCCGTCCTGGCAGTCCTGCTCAGCTCTTGCAAACTCAAGACCTTATGGAAGGAAACTGAGAGATTTAAAGAGAAGGAACAGGGGAAACAAGAAAGGTGGGAACGTCGCAAGTACCTGACCTTGAGCCGTAATTTCAGGTTGGGATGTCAACAGCTGTAGTAACACTGCGGAAGGTTTTCCTTTCCTAGTTCAGCCTCTTGAAGATTTCTCTTGCTGGATATGCATAGCAAGGGGATATTTCAGGGAAAACGAGACTCAGAAAATAACTGTCAAAGACTCCCAGCTACTGAGAAGGACAGAAATTTGTGCAAAGTGGAAATACACCTTATTGTGCAAGAAATACTACATCCCTTAAGTGCATTAAAAAAAAGAAATGGATGCCCAACTGCAACTGGGGCAGGTTCAAAGTTATAATCACATTTTCTGAATGATTGTTAAATATAATTGGAGCCCAAAAATTTATTTTGCTACAAGACACAGAGCCAGTTGGGAAAGGGCATTTCAGAGCAGGAAAAAGGAAGGTGAGAGGAAAGGTTTGCCCTGAGCAAGGTTTATCCCTTTGCATTTCCAAACAACAGAGGTTCTTTGGCAAAAGCTCTATTCGCTGATGCATGCCTAGTAAGAACAACCAATGAGTCTCTGAGCATGCACAGAGTGGATTCTAGTTCCCATCGGACAAGACCGAATCTGCCTGACCATGCCAAGAGTAACTGTCCGTCTCATTCCCACAAAAGTTTAACTGCCATCCTCCAGCCTTGGTGGGTTTCTGCCCCCTTCTCCTCATGCAGCTCCCCCACATTCGGGCGTGGGGGAGATAAAGTTTGTTGCTGTTGAAATCGGCCATCCAGCTGTCTCCGACTTATGGCAACCCTCTGAAAAAGTTCCTCCAAAATCTCCTATCCAGGACAGCTCCACTTTGCTCTTGAAAATTTCAAGCAGTCACTTCCTTAAAGGAGTCCAACATCCAACTTTTATTTGGTGTTCTTTTCCTTCCTCCTCCCTGATTTTAATCTCCAATTTGCAAGCATATATTCTTTTGCAATCACGGGCCTGCTTCTTGGAACTGCATCCGAAGATAAAGAGCCTTCGCTGAGGAAGTCTGTTGTTTTGGAAGTGTGAAGGGGGAATTGGTGAGATTGATGATCACGCTAAGAAAACTATCCATGATTTGGGTCCGTGAAGACACTAGCTCGTAGGAGGAGAAATGTTGAAGAAAATGGGCTATGCTTGGTCCCGGAAATAAAAAAGGTGGCATATAAATATAATAAAAATAAATAAAATGTCACGAGCAAATAAGTCATGTGAGACCGAAATCCTGCCAAGTCATTCCTCATTAACAATAGCCTTGTTTGTTTTTTTTAAAAAGCTTCTCATCTCAATCATGTTTATCTCCTCCTTAAACACATCTTGTCTTATCTGCAGCTTTAAAAGCAGTCATGACAAATCCCCCCCCCACTTAGCCCAGGTTCCTGTAAATTATATAATTACACAGATGCAGACAATTGCTCAGTGATTGATGTAAGGGCAACTGTATAAAAAAAAGGCCCCTATTGTTTGGGCTTTTCTTTTCTTTCTTCCTCCCCGCAGCCTGCTTTTTGCTGATTAAGCATCCCATCATTGTGGGGGGGAGAGGGGGGCACATCCTGAACGGTTTGAGCCAGCAATCTGCCTGCTCAGCAGATTTTCTGCCTTCTTTCTGCTTCCACGTTCACATTTCTTTTCCAGTCAGTTTCTCAAGTTCTGTTAATGGGGGCAGACAAAGCTTTGCACCCAGTGTCCTTCCTGCTTATAGTCATCAAAAGGAATGAGATTCAGACCATTATTACATTTATACCTTGTCTTTCTTCCTTTTGCAAAGGACTCAGGATGTCTTGTAAGGTTTGAGATCTATATGCCACTTTTTTCTTTTTTAAAGAACTCAAAGCAGCTGACACAATCTCCTCCTGCTGCTGAGTCTAATCCTCACAACAACCCTGTGAGGTAGGCTCAGCTGAGAGGCTGTGACTGGACCAAAGTTTCCTAGTTGGTTCCATGGCTGAGTGGGGACTTGAACCCAGATTACCTCAGCCCCAGCCCCATGCTCTTAACCAAGGCACTGCACTGGCTCTCCTCCTCCCCACTTTTATCTGCACAACAGCCCTGCAGGGTAGGCTCAGCTGCGAGTCTGTGATTGGCCTGAAGTTCCCCCGTGGGCTCCGTAGCTGAGTGGACACGGATCTCCCGAGTCCTCAGCCCGTGCTCTTAACTGCTTCACTGCACTGGCTCCCCTCCTCTCCATTTTATCTGCACAACAACCCTGCAAGGTAGGCTCAGCTGAGAGTCTGTGACTGAAGTCTCCCAGTGGGTTCCATGGCTGAGCAAGGTCTAGAATCGCCTGAGTCCCACTCCTGCACTGTAACCACTACACCACACTGTCTATCTCATGTTAGTGGCTAGTTAGACTAACATTCGATACAGCTGCTCCTTCTGCAGTTTTTCTCTGTAAAACGTCTGTTTTCATCCTGCTGCATTTCTTGATAAAGCTTTATCTTATTTTCTCACGGCACCCCTTTTACCGTGTAGCACCCAGGCATATAAACACAGATCCAATTCACACATGAATACACAGACTTGAGGTTTGGGTTGAGCCACTGTGGGTTAGCATAACGTGACCTGTTCCCCCAAGGTGGACTTTGATATCTGTTCATTGCATCAGCCGGAATTCAAACAGAACAAAATCAGAGCAGAGATCGTGCTGTTCTGAGGCAATCAGGCAAAAACTTGCCTACCAGCGGTCGGTATTCAAATCCTTTTTTAGATCAGAGGGGAAAAGAGAACAAAGGAAGGAAGGAAGGAAGGAAGGAAGGAGGACAGACGGAAGAGGGAGAGAGAGGATCCCCACAGCACAGCCTCCAAGAAAATGTTCAACTTGAAAGTGGTTTGAGAGATCTGGGACAAGATGTAGCCTGACCATTTCAGATAAATTGGCACATCTGAAAGAACAGGGGGCTGCTCCAGCCACACCCAAGCAGTCAGGATGGCAACTTCTGCCAGCACCCAGATATGCATGCAGCTGTTATCTGGAAGCTGTTATCTGGAAATGGCACCATGAGATAGAGCAGCCCGCCACTGCTTTTGCACAAGAAAATAAAGTTTTTTGCAAAGAAACTTTTGGTGGGCTGGCAGAAGAGCTGCCGGCTTGCACTTCTATTACGTAAGGGCAAAACCCTGTTCTGAAATCAGTTTGAACATACAGCTCCTCCCATGGTTACACACGACTTGGTTTGTCACAGCTGCAGCATCAGCTACTCCTCTGTTTCTGGGCTCAACTGAAAATGTGGGTTCTGACCTAAAAGAGCTTGTCCAGGACTTTGGCGCAGGCCCGTCTCTCAGTCCCTCCACCATCAAAGCCATGCTGGTTGGGGAGGCGAGGCAGGGCCTTCTCGGTGGCCGCTCCCTGTGGAGGGAAGCAAGGCTGAACCCTTCTCCATGCTGCGTTGATTGGCAGGCAAAGACATTTGTCCGCAGACAGGCCTTCCACATGCAAATGGTCTGCTCCAAATGGGGAGTTTAATTGGTGAATTTGCTTCATTTCTGGATTCTTAATTTCTGTTTTGATGTGTTGCTTCAACGAAGTCTTGTTTTTAATGTCTTTTATGGGTAGCCTTGAATGCAGTTCTTCGGCCCAAAGGCAGGATGTGAACAACATAATTACATTTTATGGTCTGATGATTTTATGAATCTTCTTGTTCATTCCCCAAGCCTTCTTGTTTGGTGGCTTGCAAATATTAAAGAAGCAAACATGATCGTGCTGGTCAGAAGGCAGAATCTGATGTAAACAGACTTAGTATTACAAGAGCCAGTGTGGTGTCGTGGTTAAGAGCTGGGACTGGGACTCAGGCGATCTGGGTTCTAGTCCCCGCTCACCCATGGAGCCAACTGGGGGACTCTGGGCCAGTCACAGACTCTCAGCCCAGCCTACCTCGCAGGGTTGTCATTGTGGGGATAAGATGGAGGAGGAGAATGATGTAATTATTATTATTATTACATTTTTATACTGCCCATAGCCAAAGCTCTCTAGGCAGTTGACAGCAATAACCATAGAATCATACACTCAAGCTGCCTTGAGCCCTTTGTAGGAAAAAGGCAGGATATAAATCAATCAATCAATCAATCAATCAATCAAATTATCCCTCCTCCTCACATTCTATTTCCTGAACCCTGTCCTCTGTATAACAAAACCATATCCACCCATCAGCAGGCTTTGCAGAAGTAAACATAAAAGTGCCTTGCAGGGAAAAACCAACCGCCCAAAATTCACAGGGTTCAGTGGAAACCGAACACATCCTGTGGAGTAAGATGCTGAGTGGCTGACAAGGGGAAATGGTGGAAAGCCAGAGGGCTGGAAAAGAAAGATAGCAAAATATAAGCGGCTCATCTGCACCCACCAATATTCCAGTAGCGATGGCATGTTGAAGGGGCACGGAAAGCTGCCTTGAATGCAAAACTGGAGGTGCCATTTTAGGGGAGAAGCAATGAACTGCACACTTTGGCACAATCCCCCACTTGCAATAGTGTAATGCAGGCATGTGCAGGGAATTTGGGACTGGGCATCCGTCAGCTTCCCTGGGATCAGCTCTCCGGATTCTGGCCCACTTTGTGGAAGTCTGAGCTTGCGCGGCACCAGAAGGAATTGAGCTGAGCTCAATTTGCTTGCCAGGAGCAGCCGGGATGTTCCCCAAACTGGTCATAGGGTTTCCTCTCTGGGAAGACTGAGCAAAACCAAGAGGACGCCTCCAGACTGCTGGGAGGGACCAATTCCAACACTGCTCTTCTCCCCCCTCCCCTTGGATAAATAGCAGCTTCAGG